TTGAAGGTTGTGACCAATTTATACATATATTTTGTTATCCCTAGAGATAAATCAACGTCTATGAACTTGCATTTAATGCGTATCTTAATGGCGAATAGAATAAATACATAAAATGATATTTATATGGGTTTATGAAACGCACATCAAACCAATAACCAATAAACGTAATCAGACAGGATTACATAACTTATCATCATCATCATTAAAAGTATAAAGTGTTAGTGAGATGATCAATTAGTAGGTATAGAACTAATTAACTAATAAAGCAGTTTAATTCTATTTTGAATTTCAGTAAATAGCTCAAAACTTAAGAAATTAAGCTAATTTTTTAATAATGATGAGTGGTAAACAGTCGAATGTTCTAAGATTGAATCATCATCCATTTCACCTGCTTCAAATCGACTTATCCCTGTTGAAATGTTGCTCATGCACAGTTAAAAATAAGTACTTGATGAAAGACTTACAATATTGTTGTGTCAATGATAAGATTTTTTGGTGGTGTACATGTTGCTGTTTATCTAGTTCAGTTCAAGTGGATTTTTTTTAGTAAACTGAGGCTGAATTAACGTGATTTACAAGAAAAGTATGGTAGAATGAAACAAAAACATTTTATTAAGGATACCACAGTAATATAACGGTACTTGTCGTTATATTGCATTTTCAGATAGATTTAAAAGCATCGTTGAAGTAAGGTATGATATGAATATCAAATTGTTAGGATATTCATCCAATATCCTAAGAGAATTATTATTGGTCAGTTCCTATTGGTTAATTCCTTCTGGTCAATCTTATGGTCGTCCTAGATATCAATGTCACACACTCCAATGTTGTTTCTTATTGGTTGTCCTGACTATCAATGTCAACTCAAATGTTACTTCCTATTGGTCGTCACAGACTTCGATGCTGTTTCCTATTCAACCAGAATGTATGATTACGCATTATCTGTAACGTTTTATGACCAGGACCAGGGCTCGGTCCTGGATCCCTAGCCCGGGGTCCTGATTCTCTTCTTCTGGATGCTTGTAGAATACAAGTTCTACTTCATATCAAGTCTTCTTATTTTTTACTCAATATGGGGGTTAGGATAATCGGATTAGAGTAGCATGTCGTGTCGCCGGATCGTCGATCCTCACTCTCGTTTTCCGACTAGGTAAACTCATAATAGTTCAAGCATATCAAAATGACATGTTTACGTGCAGGCGTAACACAAATATACGATTCACTTAGAAAACAACATGCTATTATTGCATGGTGTTAGGATTCTTTGGTTTAAACCTCTGACATCGTTTCAAGTTTGAAACTGTACAGAGGAGTCTCCAGCTAGGACGGAACAGATTGGTAGTTTTTTAAGGTATTCCAGCGAAAATCAGTTTGTGATAAAATCAAATCATTAATAATAATAATAATTTGTTGAAACTACTTACGAGAGGTTTATGAGATTGAGATGAAAGCATAGTTGGACCTAACACTTTGACAGGTTGATTTTTATCAACAACTGAATAAATGAAAGAATAAAATATTATTAGAAGTATAGTTTACTTGTGCAATTGAAACTATCAATTAGATTATTGAATGTAGAGATTTTAGTTTTTCGTAGGACTCACCCCAGTGATCTTGCGATCAGTTTAAATAACTGTGTAGCAACACTTAACATGTACGTGAACAAATATCTACATTTACTTCAATTGACGATTTAAAAAAATTTAAGTCACAAACTGACCCAAATTTGTATTGTATAAATCTCAACAAATTGTTTAATTTTCTATTAATAAATGTTAATTTCGTTACTGTAACGAAAACCCAGTAGAAATTTTCTCCAGTTTTGCAGTTCTGTGTTATTTTTGCTCTTTTCTAACTGACTATTCACATTTAGTTTCCTATTTTCCCCATGTTCTAAGGTCATGTTGAATATCAAGTGTTTTCTGCACTCAAAACTTGCATCGTTGGGAGGATTATGGTTGAACCGGCACTCGCATGCAAGCACTGCTACAGAGTCCCATACTGTATAATTGTTATGTTTCTATTTCATGTTGTGATTAGGTTTGATTTGCATGTCTATCAACCACGCCTAGTTGAAATATAGTCACTAGTGGAGGATGGCTGCTGTCTTCTGAATTGAAGAAAAGAGTAAAGAGATAATCTAGAGAGTCTTGGAACAATAAGAAGTTGACAGTTGACTCACAGTTACTAGTGCTGGTTGGGGTGTGTGTTTGGTCATGTTAGGGTCACTAAACAAAGTAAACAGCTGTCCAAATTAGAATCAAGATTCTGATGAGTAACTGGGCGGGTAATTTTAGTCAGCAGTTAAGATGAAAAAAATATATAATAATAATAATCCACAAAATACTTCTGCGATTTATCATTCGTTTAATTTTTGTTCTGTTAAGTTAAACCATTTGGTTCGTTAAGTTCTATGATGCTAGAAAAGTCAGTTGGAGAACAAGTTGGACTGAAAGTAGAGACTTAAGATTCGAGGGCAAAGGTACACTGCTAACTGTATATGAGATGTGATGTTTCTTTCAAACAACCGGGATCTTTAACGATAATACCTTCCCACAAAGAAAGGGGAGGGTTAAACTGGTTGGGACTAAAAAAGCACACCTCACGGAGATAACGCATTCAACGACTTCCATTGGATTCGGTAAGTGGCTGATCTGAAGCTATTATCCACTGCGCACAGAAAGTCACGTTTTCAGGCTGTCACAAGTACACCTAACCAAATTTCTTTGTCAGATACCTCAATAAGTAAATTATTTAAAACTTACAAAATTCAGTTTCCAGTGCGGTTTCTTCCACGTTTTGTTCACTACTTATGGTTATATTGGAATTGTCTACAGCACTAACATTATCATTGACAATTTTCATGGTCTTAGTAGTAGTGGTAGTAGTTGTTGTAGTAGTAGTAGAAATACTGGAAGAAGTTGACTGACAACTAGAATCGAAACATTTATTCAATTCAGATTGAGAATCAGATATGACATTATCAATCTGGTTCTCTTCCTCATCTATTCTCATCTTTATTTGTTGTAACTCTACTTTTTTCTCAGTATCCTTCATATCAGTGTCACCGTCATTGTCATTGTCATCGTCATCCTCCTCATCATTCTCCACTTCAAATGGTTCATCCATTTCAATTTTCTTCTGAGATACATAAAGTGTCTAAAAAAACAGAATGCATAAAAAAAAATAATATGAAATGAAATACATACACACACATCAAAAGCATGAATAAACATAATCTATTATTTTAACAACAGCAAAAAAAAGAACCCACGGAAGTTTTATGGTTTAAGTGGAATAGTACTAAGACTAGCAGTGACATCCAATGCAAAAGCATTTTTTTTCTATTTGAGACTGGTCAACCCCAGTAGTAACCTTTAGCTGTACACACCAATATGTTATTCATCATGCTGAAACCATTTTGAACGGATTCTTCTGAATAATGTCGGGGAACATCAAAATGTCCCACAGAAAGACTATAAACACCAAAAATCGCCAGGAAACCTTTCGCCCAATCAGCGCTGAATGGAACTGTTAGCGGGATATGGATTAAAGCATGACTGCGTTAGTTGCATGCTGATTGCCTAAATCTAATCCGATCACCGCCAGTCGATACGTGGAGTACATTCCAGACGGATGCAACGTAGAACTTCGTACGTAAGTAAATCAGTTCATGTCGCTATACCACATCAGCAGAGACATGTAACTGTCAATTCAAATCCAATAGTAGAAGAGGTGGTAGTAAGGGTATTAGAAGTAATCGGAGAGGTTATGATTAGAAGATATTATTCAAGAAGTATGATTCAGTGGGAAAAGTTTACAAAGTTGAAGAATCCAGAAGATTAGGATTTGAGAGAACACAAAGAATAAATGCACTGGCGCCATTGCGAACGATTTTGAGCCATGTCATTCAAGGTCTCTAACCATCGATTATTATCATCTCGCGGACCCCAACCAGGTAGTCGACAATTACCAACATGGCTAAGTCCACTCGTCAATGATTTCATGGATTTCTGCCTTGTTTTGTTTGGCCGCCCCTAACTTTCTTCCAACCTATTCCTACACTACAAAACAAAGCTCTTCGAGGCAGTCGGTGGTTAGGCATACGCAACACATGTCCCAACCACCTCAACTGATGAAGTTCCACTACTTCATCTATTGACCTACTATGCTTACCCAGGACCCATTTCCTAACAAATTCATCGCTTACTCGGTTCTCCCATGATACACGAGCAATGCTTCGAAGACGTCTATAATCGAATACTAATAACTAACGAATGTCTTTTATTCTTACTGGCCATGTTTCGCATCCATATTTGTGGGACAGAGCGAACTATTGCGCAGTACACAGTTGTTCACAACTATTTGTCTTTATTGAATAGATGGATCGTACACTAACATTGGAAGTCAAATCTCTCGTATTCCATCGTATTTAGAACTTGTAAACCCCAGTGTTGGTGTGTCCACACAGAAATTCAAACGCTGTATCTTTCTTCCAACCTATTCCTACACCACAAAACATCGGTCGTCAAAGCAGTCGGTGGGGAGTACACTCCAGAAGCTTCTCATGTAAAAACTATAAAGATACTAACGTTGTTCCTATTTCGCTTTCGCATCGGCTTCTTACTTCCATTTAACCTTGCTATTTGCAATATAATCTTTTTCCTATTCCACCGTGTTCTGATTTGGGGACTTGTCGAGTGTATTGTTGCCAGAGAATACTAAGCAATTGGAAAAGCTGGGTTTACCAATAGAGAATTATAACAGCAATCTCGCAGAAACATCTGGAAAATGCAGAACGATATGCGACGATACTGAGTGGATATTTAGCCACACAGGTATTATATATTTAGTATGGTTCCCGAACCTTCCAGAAATTCAAGGTCATCGGTAAATTTATGAATACCCCCACTTTTCTGCAAATAAACTGACCCTGGAGCAAAGCGCTCACCTCACACTTCACGTCTTTTCTCTTGTATTCGTAGTGTAGATTTTGTCTGGGGTTATTCGAAGCGGATAGGGACTGGAGCTTGCGTTTATTCAGCAGACTTATTAAATAACATCTAGTAATGTTAGTCCAAGAGTTTTATTGCCTCCATGTCATCCAATTGACAAAGAGGAAATTTCGAGAACTACCTTATTTTTGGTTATCTTCTAATTGATTTGTGATATAAAATACACTGAATTATTCTTTGGCTATTCGGAACAATTAATTAAGCCTTAAATATAAGAAAACTTTTGTCAAGGACAAATAAGAACAACTTAATTCAAGCTCACCGAAAAATACCAGTTTGTGAGAAAGTTGAGTATCATGTATTATGTACGAACAATTATTGCTACCTTATCTGCACGTATGATAGATGCAAACTACCTAGTTTGAACTCAGCACAATGATTCGAGACAATCCGTAACGTGGTATTGAAAGATGAATTCTTTTGATATTCCCTCAGATCTTAAACATTATTTACTCTTGAATCACACTGTCTGCAATTAATTTTTTCTAATATCACTGATATTGTTGCTACTTCTCTCCTATTGGTTTTGATAGTTTTATTTAGCTATACTAATTGAAATGTGGCAATGTGAAACAATGCACATATGTGCCAACAGGTTACGTAATTGAGGATTGATTTAAATTACCATTATAAACCATTAGTTAATATTTTTATTAAAATGATGCAATGTACACTTGAAATACTTACTCTGGCATGATTTTGTAGACTTCGTTTTAATGCATTTCTATCGGCTCGAGTATTTTTAATCCTGAAATTAGAAAATTAATATATATAGCACAGAAATAAAATTACAAAACAACACGTTCTATCTAATATAACGTAAACATAGTGAGTGAACTAATTTAACTAACTAATGAGAAATACTTTATTTGATGTTATTTTTAAAATGAGAATGCAATGAAATTAATCATTGGTTCAACATAAAAGATTCAATAATTTATCTAATGGAATAATTAGTTGTGAACAGTTTTAAGAAAAGAAAACAATTTCTATGCAAAATTGAATAGAAATTTATTGGGACGTGAGGAACAGAGATATAGAAGGTTATACATGATAGTTAGTAGTTAGACAAACATTCATATATAAGCGAGTATACTGTTCGCTTTCTAAAACTCCTTTTCAATAACAGAGAAAGCCACAGAAACTTTAAGACGCGTCTAAATGCACGACTGAAATACGTGCGAAATCAAGGTTCAAGAGAAAAATTTATCTGAAGGACAGTTCTGTTGTTACAACATAATATTATTAATCGGCTACAAACCTCAACTTGTATGGTATTTTCAGAAGTTAAAGCATCTTTATGTCCGCAAAAGATAGTTTTTGCTAGAAGTAGGTAGATAAGTTACAGCAAATAATATTTTGGATGATAGACGACAGCTATGTCTAAAGTTGATAGTGAATATTAACAAGCAAAACGGAGACTAGGAGCATAAAAATATGGAAGCTGTTGAATTTTAGTAAAGATACGAGAATCGCATACGTGTATCTCCATTTAAGCACATAAACAATGGGACGAAAGGTCATTTAAATATTTATGCGCCACATAAATTAATGAATTTAGGAATGGGCTGGGATGCTGCCCGGATGCCCAAACCGCAACAAGAGGTTTTCTTTGGGAGTTACATTCCGAGACTTAGACCAAAAGGCCTAATCCACAAGGCAGTAGAGCAACGTCACGAGATCCAATCGCATAGTAGTCAGTTACTACTAACAATAAATTCATAGGCGATTTGCTCTCTCACGATCATGGAACTTGTATGAATCATTGGCTTGTAGTCATGGTTCCCCAACTCCACCAGGTTGATCCTCTGTACCTACCAGCTCGGTTTAAGCTCTAGAGACTTGCTTTCCGTTCCCTCAATATCGTAACCAAAGCCCTCACCACGAGGTATTGAGTAGGACTTCCCGGGCAGCGAATAAATGCACATGGCTAGATGAGAGTATTTCAATTGTGCCACGACAATTATGATATAAGAGAAGCATAATGGCCAAAAGTAACTGTTACGAATATTCAGATACAGGAATTGCAACAATAGATAGTGTAAGCGCTACTAGAATATTACACAATAAATAACGTACAACACACCACACCTTCAAGAATTATTAGAAATGAAACTGGTTATTGAGTATTAATAATTAACATAAGTAATACACAAAAAGTGAGTCCAATAACGAAAAATTGTTTTATCAAGGGATATGTTAATGAAAATCTTATTGACAATGAAGTGTTTTGGCGAACGGAATAGTCGTCGACTAAGAGTCAGCATTGAAATGACCGTTCTTATGCTCCAGGTAAGTTATTACATATGAGACGAAAAGCGCACTGAAAGAATCTAATGTAGATGAACACAACTCTATAATTAATTTTAGTTGCATTTACTGGTTCCTGGAATAGTATATACATAGGTAGAATAGATAGGTTATTATGTAAAAGAATCTCTGAATCATTCAGCAGCGGTCTATTTGATCGGCCGTAAAAAAATTCTTGAAAGAAGTTTGAACAGTTCATATGTTGTGAAATAATTCCGTTAGATGCCGGCCCAGTGGTCCAATGGTTAGGCGTTCGCGCACAATACCGAAGGTCCTGGGTTCGAATCCTGCGCGGTGCAGGAGTCGTGGACGCGCACTGTTGATGAGTCCCATACCAGGACGAAACGGCCGTCCAGTGCTTCCAGGTTTCTAATGGTGGTCTAACAGTGATTGATTGATGATTTCAAATGTGTAAAAACACAAACCTCCAAAAATCTGCCACAAAATTCCTATTCACTGCTTAAAATAAGTAGATTGTAAATATTACACATTAAAATAATGTTCAATAAGTAAGTGGACAGATATTATTTTGCAAATCACTAATGTAAAAACCTTATTCTAATGATTCCGCAGATAAACTAGATTCTCAGCTTTACTGTTTTGAAACAAATGTACACGATAACATAAGTTGGCTAATCAGACTAAAAATATGTTAGTGAATTTGAAAAAAATAGTTACAGAATTTGTTGAAATTGACCTCTTCGTTGGACATTTAAACAACCACAATTTTAATTTATCAAAAAGGGAGAAACGATAGGCCAATCAGATTTCAAACTCTTAAAAATTTTTGAGGAGGAAATGATGATGATGATGATGATAATAGTAGGATTTTATTAATGCTTCATCTTACATTGAGAATGTGTGATTTTATTGTTTCATTTGCATGTTCAATAAAATGATCTCATAGAAATGAAAAGAAAAACTTACTTTTGCTCAGATGTAACATTTGATTGATCGTCTGTACATTGTTGATCATCAGCAGCAGCATTATCATGTAATTTTTGTCTAGCTGCTCGAACAGCAGCTGCAGCATCCGATGATGAAATATATTCAGAATTATTATTATTATTATTACTATTTTGTCCATTGATAGATTGTTTTAACGATCTGCCTACTCTTGTAAGTCCAGCACGATGAAAAAGTTGCAGTTCAGTTTGACGCAATGGAATTAAACGTGCTTTTAATTTAGAACGTTGTGCACGCTTAGATGAACCTAATGACCAGTGGAAAAATGGACGAAATGTTTAATTAATGAGTTGAATATTATTTTTCCTTGTTTCAAATAATCCATGCTACTGACTGAAATCAAATCGATCAATGTTAGATTATCATTAGAAACCTAGAAGCACTGGAATCGAACACATGACCTTCGGTGGGGATAGGAGGTACGTGACAGGAAACACTTTGTGCCTGCAATTTTGAAGGAACTGATGCTCTTTGGAGAGATTCCTATTAACTATCTGTAACAATGGCCGTTTATAACATTATAACATGCCTGACAAGCTAGCTAGATGACATTATTTTCACCCATAAGGAATTTTCTTCCTAAATTATTTTTCAAGCTTAAAATTTTAAGATAGTGATAGAAACCAGTAAATGAAGCGTAAATACTGTGTATACACTAAACAATAATAACGCCCATTTGAGAAACTATTTTGTTCTATACTATGACATGCCGGTCTGATGCACCTGAATTTTAATGTTAATTTCAAAATGCATTATCCAGTGAATTACTGAGTTTATATAACCATTAACTTCTCGAATGAATATGCAAAGAAATTAGAAGCTGACAGCAAAAAAAAAGTGTAGTTTTATGAGTCAATTTATACAACAACATACTTGTTTTTAATGCATTCATATAGGCTTCTAACTCGTCAAGTTGCGATGGATTCGCTTCTTTCGATGAAAATTCTAGGAAGAGAGAAAAAAAGGTATAATACTAATAAGGATATGAGATATAATAGATAAGATCTTTAACAATGCTAAGATGATGATTATAGGCTGCTCAATTTTTGTTACTAAATATTACTTTTCTTTTCTGTGATGATAATGGTAAGAACCATTATTCGAATATATTTATGGACATGACCTTTGCTGTCATAACATGAAATTGTCAGGATAACTGTTAGAGTAGTACATGGAGTGCCAGTATTGTCACAGAAAAGATTAGGCAATAAAGATATGATTCTAGACAATATAACTTGGAGATAAAAACAGGCTTATACGGAATTTATAAACTTCTAGTCTAATGGAAGATAAAGAGTGAACACACCTAAGCCAAGGTTTCAAACCATTAATGATGACAATCACATAGATCTATCAAGTGGTCTGTATCTAAATACACAGGTGAATCCACAAGTCAGTATCTTCATGGACTAATGAAATGATTTCATTTAGCTAGCCCTATTGTTCATTCAACCTACTCACTCCTACAACGACCAGAATCGTGTGTTGAAGGAGTAGATAGATGGATGCATGTTATACATGTCCCTAATCAATAAAGAATCCTTACATTGTCATTAGATTTCACATATTTACTTAATACTTCAACTTCAGGATTGCCAACTCAATGGTTGCAAAATACACAAGCAACGCTTTGAAGACACCTATGATTGAACAGTAGTAACGTGTGAATATCCATTATTTTTAAAGACCATGCCTAAAACCCATGAGGTGGGACAAGCACAACTGTTACTCGGTAAACCCATCTTTATTTAGTCGACGAATATCACACCTACATTATACGTGATTCAAGTCGGCTAAAGCCTAATTGTGCTTTCCGAATTCGGGTTCAGATTTTGTCAGACACGAGCTCATCAGAATTGATGAAATTTCCAAGATAAGGGCAGTGACAGATATAATACCTGACTCCCTATCGTTAGTTCACGTGCTGAAGAAATACTTTGTATTTAGAGAGAGAAATGCATCCTAAGCATGTTTGCATGGTTGCTTAAAGAGATCGGAAGACTCTACTTTTGGTCAACATCTTCATCGAACAAGAATATATCCTCTGAGTATTCTTGTAGATTGATTCCTCGGATGAGTCAATCGATGTGAGTGTTATTGCTAAAATAATATTCATGACACAGTCAAAATACAAAAAAATACCCAATTTCATTCAATAAAAATATTCAGAAAAAATATGACAGTCTATATATTCACTTTATCTGGACACTATTACCGAATGAAATCATTTTCAAATATACTATTATTATACAATTTTATCGAGTACATTCAGAAATACAAACGACCTGTACATTTTCGATAATAAAGGATTAGTAACACAACTAAATTTTGCACAATACAATCAAAACAAAGGTGTAAACAAAGACAAGTTTAAGGTCAACAGCAACCAATCAAGACCGAGGTTAGCAGAACAAGAAGCTACAGGTCAAACGTGGAGAAATTCGAATGCTTCACTTCAATCTGAAGTTTTTGCTGATGATGTTGTGTCCAGAAGAACAATCAAAGCTCCACTGCCAAAACATCCAGCACAGAGAACCAAACACCACCATCACAATTATCCACCTGAGCTACAAGTTTTCTCTACCATCTCAGAACTGAGTTTTGTAGGTAAATCTCGACTACCTGATGAGATTTTGGATGATATAGTTCAAAATCAGTTACAATAGCGATTATATATATTTATTCTGTATTGAAGTATTTATACTTGTGAAATAGGCAAATAAATTCTTTTTCCCTGAGTTTAAGCCAAATGCTTTGAACTATGGTAATGAACTAAGACTTCAAGACCAAATGGAATAGTATTACAGTGAGAGAAGACATAGTTTGTTAACAAAACATGCACACCCCTTATCTTCAGAGTTCAATTTGAAGAACAAACAGATTATTGACTGTCTTCGTTTACAATACTTTAATCACGCTTGCATATTCGGATCCGATGTTCTTCTCTATAGTAGTAACTTCTGGCTGACGCTCCACTGCATACTTATTTAAAAAATATGTTACCAGCGGTATCTAACAGACTACTTTTGGTACTTTTTTTTAAAGTCTGACATTCATCTTGATGAATTTATCCATTTGTGACAGCTTGAATCAATGCAAATATATGCCCTGTTTGGTTTGGCTTATAATTAAATGCTTAACTTAAAATCAATTCATACAATGACCAATGTTAAAACTTGAAACAAACTCCATAAAACTCTTAGTTTAATAGTGTGGAAAAAGAAAGAAAATTGCAAATAAATTGCATATACACACTTGATACAAATGTTAACAAGTGTTGCGTGAAGAACAACATCACATTACACATGAATAATTTTGTATAAAAAAAGAAAAGGTTTCGAAAAGTATTTACTGTATGATCACTAATATATGATAACATAGTCAACTAAATACAATCAACCAGGTTAAAAAGTGAATAGCACAATTGATGTCTACTCAAATGTAGATTTTAAAAAAAATCAATATTAATAACTTCTTTAGTCCATAACCAATCACAATGATAACATTATGGAACAATCAAGTAGTCGATTAAAACTGTCATGTTCCACTTATCGTGATTAGGCAGAGTAAAAAAGTTTCACCTATTTGAAAATTTCAAACAATTCGCAAATCTATAAAAAGAAAACTAAATGATATTTAAAGGGAACGTAAATACACTAAGATAATATGTTCTTTAGTAAGAGTATATTGAAAAAAAACACGAAAAATATACCTTTGTTGATAGCTTCTAATTCTTCTTCAATTGAAACAATTTCTTCACCGATTTTTTCCAATTCAGAAAGCTACAAAATTAATAACATGATGGCTAAACAACTATTTACGTAAGCAATAATTAAAAATAATACTAAAAACAATTGTACTAATAAAAGTAATGGGCGGTTGAGCAGTGGTCAATACGCTCTAATTCTTTCTAGCATATCGTGCATTGGATCTCTGACTCAACCTATTTTGGTTTGCATAGCATGACAATATCATTAAAACTTAAATTTAGTAGTCAGCTACAAAGTGGAATTTTGTACGTAAGTAGACAATTTCAAGTTGTCAATTCAAATCTCACAGTGGTAGAAGTAGTATATATATTAGATTTGTGTCATGCTCTGGTTTGGCCGCCCCTGGGATTTCTTCCAACCTACTCCTACACCAAAAACCATTGATCACCAAGGCAGTCGGTGGTTAGTTGGGCATTCGTAACACATGTCCAAACCACAGCAACCGGTGTAGATTCACTACTCCATCTATTGATCTGCCATGCTGACCTAGTACCCACTTCCTAACAACTCAATAGCTTACTCGATAGTCCCAAAATAAACGAGCAACGCTTCGGAGACACCTATGATCGAAAACCAGTAACCTATGAATATCTTCTACTCCTAACTGCCTATGTTTCACAGCCATAAAATAGGGACAGAGCAAACTGCTGCGTAGTACACTCGTCCTTTGGTTAGTACACGGATATTTCGCCTATACCATAAGTGACACAAGTCGACAAAAGCCAATCCAGCCTTCGTTATTCATGCCGAGATTCCGTCACACACCACGCCATCAACACTGATGAGACTCACCAGATAAGTGAAGCGGTCGACACGCTCAACTGTTTAAATCCTTATCACTAATTCAAGTGCCGATGCAATCCAATTCTAAATTAACAGTTTTCATTTCGACAGGCAGATTGGCATCCCGAAAAGGCTTGCAATGCTGCTTAGGGTGGTTAGAAGACTCTGCAGTTTGTCAGCGTTTTCAACATATAGAACTACATCATCAACATATTCAAAGTCAACAAGCGAATCTCCTGGTTAAAAGTTCAACTCCTGAAAGTCCGATGACAGTTTGCCATAAACTCTCACTAAAACAGCAGTGTTCAAGTAGAGAGTCTTTACAAGTCACATCCAGGTTAAAAACTAAACTGGTTTTCTCTAGTCTGCTCTTCACGAGCTTTTGTTAAGCGTCGAAGCATTATTGTGGCCAATATTTTCGATACTATATTAGTTAAACTGAATTCTCTGTGATTGTCACAAGAAGACTTTTGTGCTTTCTCACAGACTGAGACAATCAGTGATTGAGACCAGTCAGATGGAATACGTACAGTTCCCAGATACTATCTAAGATCGCAGTCAATCTATCCATTGAAACTGGAACACCACCCTTAGTCTCACTAACAGTCAGATTTCTAATACTGTTTTTCTTAAAAGTTGTTACCTATAGTCGCTACCTTTTTTTATCTCTTTTTCCTTCGCTACCCACAATTGTTCGCGATCATTGTATGGGCTCATGAAATATACTCTTGGCTTTGTTATCCGTTAAAAGTAGAACTTTAAGGACTTTCCTTACTCTTCAGACGTCCTAAATTACCTAGTACAACTGAGAAGTGGAGACAATCCGCTCGACCTATCCAGATACTCTCATATGGCCATGTGTGGCTTCCCGGGAAGTCCTACTCAACACCACGTGATGAGGGTTTTGGTTACGATATTAAGAGATCGGAAAGCAAGTCTCCAGAGCTTAAACCAAGCTGGTAGGTACAGTATATCAACCTGACGGAGTTGGTAAACCATGACTACAAGCCTATGAGTTCCATGATCGTGAGAGAGCAAATCGCAGAGAATTTATTGTTGTTAGTAACTGGCTACTTTGTGAATGCATCTCGTGACATTGCTCTACTGCCTTGTGGATTAGGCCTTTCGGTCTAATGCCGGGATGACCAAACTTTGAAATGTGAAGTTTTTTATTTACACCCAACACAATTACGAAGACAAGGTTATACACAAAAGAAGAATAATAAACTATGAAAGTTAGTCTTGGAAAATTAATACGCTTGATGATTCTCAATGTTGTAATTACCACTTGAATGCATAGTAGTGTGGTGTGTGCTACTTATACGAACGATATAAGTAGTATAAGAATGGACGTGAAAGAAGATGTCTTACGGTCAGAAGAGGAAAACGGAAAGCAAATAGAGCAAAAGCAAGAAAGATTTAGGGCACCGACAGGAAGTAAAGGAAGCAACAGCAGGAATGGAGGAAGGCTGGAGCGTTGGAAGTCAGGACTCAAAGATGGTGTGCAAATGGAGTATTCAATGTAATGTTATCGTTTTTAATTGACTGAGAGTGTAAATTTGCCAAATACAATCTATTGAGCTTGCCTCAGTCTTCTCAATTGGTGTCGCTGCCTCCACACAGGATGAAGATACTATGGCCTCGGGAGTTTGAAGACGGAGATGTGAGGAGCTTCTTGAAGGAGTTCGAGGCTGTGGCGGAGCTGGTCGGAGTCAAGGAACGGAAGGCGAAGGCGGTGGTGCTGGGGACTCTACTAAGAGGCAGGGCGAGAGCGGTGTACGATAGTGTGGAGAACGCTGACTGGAAGGCGGTGACGGAAAGGCTGCTGTTGGAGTTCGACAGCCCGGCGGATAGGCAGGACGCGCTGCAGAAGTTCCGGGAGGCGCGGCTGTCGGTGGACGGCGACCCACTCGTGCTGGCCGTGGAGCTGACAAGATTGCTGCGCCGGGGTCTGCCGAATTTGGACGAGGAGTCGCAGGCACAGCTGCTAGCCTCGCAATTCATTGAAAGTGTGCCTGCAGAGATTGGCCAACAGTTGAGACTGGTGAACGCGGCACAACCAATGGACGTCACCGAGCTGGCGAAAGTAACAAGACAACTGATGAACTCAACAGTCGCCTCGGTGGCGTGTGAGAGACAGGCTGATGATGTCGTGAAGAAGATAGAAGAATTACAACGAGAGGTGGCAGCTTTACGAATAAAGGGTGAAAGAAATAATAAATGCTACATTTGCGGAGGAATCGGACATTGGAAGAGGAATTGCCCAACAAGACGAAGACGTAAATATTTTAGACCATACACAAGTTGTTCTTTATGTCTTTCGAAACTGGGGGTCTCGGCATTAGTAGATAAGGGGGCAGTCTATGCGAGAGTAGGGATAAACGAGCGAGAGGTAGTTTGCCTGATTGATACAGGGGCGGCAGTTTCGTTAATAGACAAGGAGCGGTGTAGAGGTATCAGGCCGAGTGCATTAGTTGTTAACACCATCGGCGGCCACGTGTTAAAAATCCTCGGAGTCTCAAATGATATCGTGAAAATCGGCAGTTCGAAAATACAGTTTCCCTTTGTAGTGACTACGAACTTGTCGAGACCAATACTAGGAGCAGATTTCTTGAGAGAAGTAGGAGCGATTATTGATACAAGAAGTAAAAAGGTGATTACAAAGTACGGCACACTGACAATACATGAAAGCAGCGAGGTGGCTGAGGTTAGAGTAGCAAAAGAGGACATTGGAAAAAAACAGAACATTAACGGAGTGCTCACAAAATATAAGAAGTTGTTCACGGGAGACGGAGAACCGTACGGGTTTTGTAATAAAGTCAAACATGAAATTCCGATAAAGAACGAAGAAGTAACCATCTTCACAACACGACGGGTCCCCGTACATTTGGAAGCTGAGATAAACCAGCAGGTACAGGAGATGTTAAAAGCAGGTATAATTGAAGAAGCAGATAGCCCGTACAGCTCACCGGTACTTTTGGTAAAGAAGCCAAATGGAAAGTATAGATTCTGTGTTGACTTTAGAGAACTGAATAACGTGACAGAAATAAAACCATGTGCAATGCCAACAATAGCGGAGACAAGCAATCAGGAATGTGAGAGAGAAACAAACATCAGACATGCAGAAGTCAGAACAGGAGAGAAAGAACTGGAGACCGTTTGAAGTGGGAGACCAAGTGAAGTGTAGAGAACGGAAATGTACCACAGGAAGAGGGCCAGGGTCAGGTAAGCTGATCCCGAAGTGGGAGGGACCGTACGTAGTAACCGAGAGGCGCGGCGCAGTGTATACAATCCAGAAAGGAAACAAACAGAAACGCGTGAATGCCAGTGAACTCCAAAGGTGGTTCCAAGTGCGCCAAGAGGGTGAGCCACAAACACTGATAAAGAAGACGGCTGTACGGAGATCAGAAAGGCTGAGAGAGCGACTTGTTAAAGGGGGGACGAGTGTGGTGTGTGCTACTTATACGAACGATATAAGTAGTATAAGAATGGACGTGAAAGAAGATGTCTTACGGTCAGAAGAGGAAAACGGAAAGCAAATAGAGCAAAAGCAAGAAAGATTTAGGGCACCGACAGGAAGTAAAGGAAGCAACAGCAGGAATGGAGGAAGGCTGGAGCGTTGGAAGTCAGGACTCAAAGATGGTGTGCAAATGGAGTATTCAATGTAATGTTATCGTTTTTTATTGACTAAGAAAGTAAATTTGCCAAATACAATCTATTGAGCCTGCCTCAGTCTTCTCAGTAGTAGTAGTAGTTGCTGTAATGATTTCATTCATTACAAACTTTAGTCTAATCTGGACACTAATGTAATATATTCGTCTATTTACATTGTGTATTCCTCTCATTTAGTGTGCATTATGGTTCAATCAATCGTCTATTTAAGTTATTTGAGTTTGAAAATCAGGTGTGGGATGTCACATGAACATAACTGAATACATTTACTTCAGGTTCAATCAGTCGCCTAACATATCTAGGATTTTTAACTGATTTATCGAATATCTATCTAACGACTACACTGATAGGTATATCAACGTGATATTCAGCACAAACATTTAATAATCCATTTTTTTCTTGATGTTGTACAGTAAGATTTTAAAATTTAATGAAGCAATGAAGCACAATGATACGATACGGTTAAATGAAAAGCTTAAAATTTTATTGTAACAAACACTTTTAAATATTCTGTTCATATAAAAACAAGAGGATTTGTAATTTGATTCTGAAGCGGTGGCTTAATAGCTAAGGGCTTTAATTTTTTTAGCCACTAAATGCTTGGTTTGCATCCTGGTCCAGCTTCCTTAGTGTGGACAAATGGATGGGTATTGACAGCCCTCATATTTATTACAGAGTGGATTATATCGTTGCTAGAACTGGGTGAATGAGTTAATTAAAATGAATTTATTTTCAAGAGTATTTTTCTCCTTATAAACTACGTAAAATGAAAAATATACATGGAATGAATTATCTATGATAGCTCATGAACATGCACAAGCACCCGTAAATACACACTGAGTAAAACATACAACCAAAAAACATACCACAGTAATCATAGTTGCATTTTGAGAGAATCGTTTTTCATTTTTGGGATGAATTTTAACATTATTATTATTGTTCAATAGTTCGTCTGGTGTTTTAATCTGATGATCATTAGTAGTAGTATCTTGTACTCCTAATTGACGCATACGATTTAAACGTTTTTTTTCCACAGCACCAGTTCGATCAACAAATGTATCTTCATCAGATGAATAATAATCACGATCTTCCCAATAAGCTCGTGATCGAGTATAGTTAGAAGCAGCAGAACGATCTGAAGTATCAAAATAAAGTAAAACAATACATGAAGTGTTTGATTTTATTTTTGTTAAGTAAAACTAATTATTTACATAGAAAGATGAAAAAGTATTCAACATTAATGACGACTGTAAAACAAACAATGGTAAATAAAAATCAGTGTAATCATTAGTTTGGAGGGGGTATAGTTGGAAGAACAATTTATTCAAACATGAACTCTGATTAAATTTCAGTCAAAAATATCAACAATGAAATAATCTGAACCATTTCAAATTCAATTAAATCTCATACCCATTTCATAAGTGAACCCAACAGCTAAATGAATAACATGATACCAGTGTTTAAAGCCAACGATACTAGGTTCGAGTTACAGAGTGAACAGCAACTCTGAGATGCAGGTACGAGTCCCGAATAGGATGAAACGCACGTCCTAGATTCCACTGCTAACCACATTCTATCATCTAGTCTATGTAAACTGTAATCATCATCGA